GGTTCAGGATCATGTCTGTTTTAACAAGTGCAATCCCACGTTGGTGGCAGCTCTTTGAGCCTGGTGGGTGTGCAGAGGGCACCCGGGGCAGCGTGCACAGAGCCAGGAGAGGAGCTCACGGCCACCCCCTCCCTGGGCACGGCACATACAGCTCCCACAGAGCCAGGAACGAGGCGTGACACGAGTGACAGCCGGTGGTTTGGGATTTGTGCATCCTTGTCCAGCTGAAGTGCTGCGTTGGCAGGCTGTCCCCGCAGAGCCCAGGCAGCCCCAGAAGGAAGAAGGGACTCACTCCTCGTTGAGCGCGCACCGGCGGCTCGTGGGGCAGCCGTACTTGCGCAGGCTCTGCGTCAGCTCCTTGTACAGGGTGTCCGCCAGCAGGTGGGGGATCCCCTCCCAGGCCAGGATCAGGATCACGATCACGGCCGTCTGGCAGTGGTGGCCCGCCCGCTGCCGCACCAGGCACAGCAGCTTCTCCTCGTCGCTGCTCCTGCGGATCACCTGCAACAACCACGGGGTTACTCTGGGAACAAACGCCTCCTCAGCTGCTCCTCTCTGGGATGGGTGAGGCCCAAAAAGCAAGGGATACTGCTGCCCTAAGAGTGCCCACCGGCAGGTGGGACCGGGACTGCGTCACACTCAGCCCTGGGCAGAACAGGGTTTTGTGTTGCTTTCTTACCTGCAGGAGAGACAGCAGCGTATTTGACAGGGGGAGGAGTATTTTAGATCTTGTACACATGCAATAAAGGAGATGCATTAAAAGGCAAATAACCTCTGGAAGGAAACAATCCTGAGACAAGAGATCCACTAAGAACCCAACAGTTACCCTGAAAATAAGGCAGAAAGTACAGTGCCAAACCCCAGAAGGCAGGTGTGTGAAAGCACACCAGTAAGGCACACGTGTTAGGACAGCCACCAGTGTTAGAGATGTCCTCACCTTGCAAATATAAGAAAGCAATGAAAACAGTTTGTGTTCTTAGTGAAGGAAACAATGGGATTTTTCACAACATATCCCTAGACTACCTCCATTAAAGCTCTCAGAGTGGTGAAGCTGTTACTGACCTGCATGATGTACAAAGCCATCATTGGCAACCTTCAAACACAGAGACTAACCAGTGTGGAACAGTACAATACACCACTGGATAAAAAGGGGAAAATTATCAAAGAACTAGACAATCCTACTCCCACATATTTAGGGCTTTGCCATAATCTGGAAGTCACATTTAAGACCGCCAAAAAAAGCAGTAAGGCTAGGTATTATAGAACATGGTCTCTGAAAATACATTATTTATTCTTCCAACACATTTTAGCCAGCGTGGCCTGTTCAAGGCCTCCAGCAAAGGTGTCAATGCTCCAGTGTGAAGCTCCAACCCCCTCAGGCAGTAGAGGCTCCATCCTCCTCCTCAGCTGGGCACCTGCAGGGTTCTTGCTGTGTGAGCACCAGCCCCTGCACTGCAGAGGCCTCTGCCAGCTCCATCTCAGCACGGGCTCTGGGCAAGCAGGGCTGGGCCTTCCCCCAGCCCCCTCCCCATCCACAGAGCTCCCACACAGAACAGCCCCAGTCATGGACGAGAAAAGCAGGAAGGTTCCCTCTCTCTTGGAATACCTCCAGATATCCGAGTGTTCAGGCAGATTCCCCCTTGGACTGATGTCAAAGCTGCTGTGCTGCCAGATGTGCAGCTGTCACTCTTGTGTGACCCCTGCCCTGATCACCTCTGAATATCTAAATCATCTGAACTCCTGGAAAGCAGGGAGCAAAGCACACCTGCAGTTCATCTGCCAATGAAAAGGGCTGCAGCAGATGAACAGCTGGAGAGGGCACCTGTGCAGGCTGAGCAGGGAGAGCAAGCTTAGAGTTCATTTGTGTCAAGAGAAAGTATCACCCTTCTAAAGCTGATCTTACAATCAGCCTTGGGCTTCATGAGAAAATGAGTGGCTCTGATACACCATTCCTGACAAGGAGTCTTGGTTCTGACCAACCTACTGACTGACAGGTCAGTATGTCTTATAAGGAAAGAAAAATAATCCAACTCATTTACATTTAAGTGAAGTTGGCAGCAAGTCTGTTAAGGCTGATCCACAATACAGGTTATTCATGTCAAAGTTTTACATTCCTGAGGCAGCAGTTCCTTCTAGCCAGAAGAACAATTTAAGTTTGTTACTCAGTGTGAAGTGATGCTTTTACTCTTTTTTTTCTCTTATTTTTAGACCAACCCAAATAACACAGTCTGGTACTGTACAATGTCAGGTGCCTTTTTTGAGTTCTCATGTAGCTCTAAACTGGAAAAACACAGTCCAGGAAAAGTGACAAACGAACACAAAGGAAATTTATAGTTTCCTTAAAACTAAGACCACACTTTCCTGCAGTTAAAAGTAGCTGGAATTGGCTTCATTGTGCATATTGTAGAGAATGCAATACTCTTATTGCACCCAAAACCATTTTACAATCCACCACCTTCTGGGCCACAAAGGCAAGTTCATGTATTTTTTAGTTGTGTGAATTTTACGTCTCTGGGTCAGTTACATCATCCACTCATTGGATCCTTTTGTTCCCAGAGATCAGCCCTTCTCTCACCTGTCACTGAGCTGGGGTGGTTCCTGAGGTGGAGCTGGAGCCACTCTGCTTCCCCAGAGGAACTGAGGATGCCCTCCCAGAGCAGTAAATGAACTGAGCCTCTCCTGTGCAATAACTAAACCCACAGCAATGCCACACTCTGGGTACAGAAAAAGCACTTTTGAGCAGGACGGCTGAACTCCAGAGTGTTTCCCCAGACTGGGGACAATGCACAAATCAGCTGGCAAACCTCGTGTCCAAAGGTTTTGGGTATTACTCATGATTTCTGTGATGTAGTTAACAACAGTGATAAAGTAAATCATTTAATACTTCAGTTTGTTTAATTTTGGTCCCTAATGCATTTACAAGGAATGAGAAAGTAAGCATTTGTTAAGCAGAAGAACTTAAAAGCTACATTTTTAGAATGGGAAAATAAAACTTTTCCTCTGCAATTACTTTTCCACACAAGCTAACCATGACTTCTGAGTGACTCACACAGAAAAATAACATGATCAACAAAACAGACTTGAACAAGTCTGTGCAGCATTATGTAACACTTACATGCAGCAAGCAAGAGGACAAGAGGAAACGGCCTCAAGTTGCCCCAAGGAAGGTTTAGACTGGATCTTAGGAAAAATTTCTTCCCAGAAAGGACTGTCCAGCCCCAGCACAGGCTGCCCAGGGCAGTGGTGGAGTGCCCATCCTTGCAGGGATTTAAAAGACTGTAGGTGTGGTGCTCAGGGCTGTGGTTTAGTGGTGGCCTTGGCAGCAACGGGTTAATGGCAGAACTCAGTCTTAGAGGTTGTGTCCAGCCTAAATGATTCTGTAATGTCATGGTCAGGTTTTTGCAGGTATGTAGGGCCACATTCCCCCTGAACTCATTTCAGCAACCACCGAATGTCATCAGTACTAAGTATCCATCAAGACCCCCACATTAACAATGAATACTGTTTCAGCTGTACTTCAGGAAAGGAACAGGACCTACCAAACTCCTCCACATGCTCCATCAGTACCCACCAGCCCTGCTCTGCACTCACACTAACTGGCATGAAGTTCCCTGCCGCCACTCCCTCCCCTGTGTGCCAACACAGCCGTGTCTAAGGCAAAAGGGAACACCAAAACGGGACTCAGCTCCTTCCAAAGAGCCTCCTTACACACACATATTGGACACACAGCACCACCAGGACCATCCTTGGAGGTGCCGATTTGGGCAGGACACTCAGTTGTTTTGATCACTCTCAAACCCCTGTTTTGCCCATCCCTCTGGTGCTGGAGTTGTGCCCCCACCAGTACCACATCCTGCATTCCTATGGCTGTCCAGGTGTCCTTGTTGATGTGCACACCCAAGGGAAGGCAGCAACTCAAGTGATTCATTTTCTCAGCTAGCCCAGGTATTCCCAGGTGGCAGGAGCTGAGAACATGAGCAAGCCTTCGAGGTGTCCCACAGCCAGGTGGGACACAATCAGCAGCTATTCTGGCAACATACCACAGCTAAACCTCTGCGCTACAAGCCACAGAGGCCTAAGCTTCCCAAAATTTCTTACCAGAAAGCACGAGCCAAATGCTATGGCAGGTTTATTGAAGAGGTGCCCTACGCAGTAGAATTTCCTCCAGCAATTTAGCTGTGGGATACCCATGAGGAAAAGTTAGATTTTTCACACCTTGCATACAAGGAGAGTGAAAAGGATGCTAAAAGTTCAAGAATACAGTAACAGGATGAGGTCAGAAGAGCACAGTTCAGCCTTATCATGATCCTGAGAGTGACAAACAGCAGTTGCCTCTGGATGTGCAGCAAGAGAGGCACTGGGATGCAGAGATGCTTCCCAGCAAAGCCAGGCACCTTCCAGCCACCCGCCAGCAGCTCAGGGGACAGCTCTCCCCCTGCTTTCCAAGCACTTGCCCTTTGTGCATTTCTCCACTCACTTCTAAATCCATGCAGCATTTTAACCACCCACTATGTTCCCAGAAAAGCTTAATTACAGACCATGTGACAGAAAAAACATGACCCTTCCTTGGTGCTGAGCTCACCCTCTGCCAGTGCCCTCCAGTTTAGCTCCAGGATGAGACTGGAGAACACAGCTCCATGCCACTGGACACTTCAGCAGCTCTGCCTTCTCCCTTCCCTCTCTGCCAGCCTGACCAGTCTGCACCTCCATCTGTCCTTCCCAGTCCTGCTGTGCTTTCCTGGGGGATCAGACTGACAGGATCCCAACCGGGGGGGCAGCACCTCTCACAGAGGCACAGCTGTGTTCCAGGTTTTCTCTGTTCCTCCCCAGTAGTTCTCACCAGTTTCTTCTGCAGTTTCCATCACAACTGGACAATGAAGCTTTGTCTAACAAACCATCATCTCAAGCAGTAACAACCCAGTGTCCACCACTGAGTACACGGAACTAGAACACTGCTTTTTGTGTGACTTTACCGAGTGATTTTTATCTTTTATTTTCAGTGGCCATTCAGTCAGGATCAGAATTCGTGATGTCTGTCCTTGCTCTTTGTTATCCTGAATGACGCTGTATCAGCAGCACTTTGGCACTGCAGCATCTCCTGCTTTTTCAAACCATTTCTGGATGGATTGCAATGAACAATCAGTAAAGGCACACTGTCAATAAAAGCTCCTCCAGCTGTCCAGCTCCTTAGCAGGAGCTCTAGAACAAGGGATAAGTCCACAGTGAGTAAGAATGCCCCCAGCCATGAGCCAGCCTGTCCACATGAGCATGGACACGCCTTGGGAAGTAGCTCAGTCCAACTGCAGAAGCTCCATGTACCAGATGCTGAATTCCCCCAGGGATGAGAAAATAACTTTCCAATTACAATCATCAGAAAGAGTTGTGTTAACTTCAACATGATTTAATCCAGACACCACTAGCAAAGAGCACTAAATTTTAATTGTGAGTTAAAAACACTGCTATAAATTACTGGATAACCCCCCCCAAACAACAGAACCAACAAAAAGGTACTTTTAGGTTTTTTTCACCTCCATGTGGTTCCACTGCAGTATTTCCTCCAGCCCATTCTGAATTTCTTTAGTCAAATAACTGTGTCTCCTTTGCAGGATATCAGTAGTTGATTTGAAAGTGAGAATATATTTAGCTGTTCCCTGTAATTTCCTGGAACAGGAGACTCCTTAAGCACACTGTGGCTCCCAGTTTTCTAACCTGCAGATTTTGCCTCTGTACAGAGTCCGTGTATGGAGACCTCTGCTGAGCTCCAATTCCCTAATAACCTACACCAGGGTGCTGGTCACACCTGCTGCTGTTCACCTTAACACAGCTTTTCTCTTTCATTTTTACTCTATTAAAATATTTGAGTCATTCTTCATGTTAAACAATATTAAAATGCTTTTATTTACTTCCTAAACCACATAAATGTTTTTAATAATTCTGAATCTCAAAGTATTGCAGCACTTAAAGAATGGCTGTACTTCGGATGATATTCCAAGCACTTTTGTCCCAGATAAGCTCCTCTAAGCCTGCTCAGCTACACACACTAACCTGTTACAACACTAAGGCAAGAAAAGGATGCTCTAATACAACATTGTCCAAAAAGGTGAACAAACCCCCCATGAACCACCCTCTCCATCTGCTAAAATTCATTTCCTTCCAGACTTCTCCTATGGAGAACATGATTTAACCATAAAGATAATTCAGTAAATGAAATAAAAGCGTGAAGTACAGTAAGCTGTTTAAAGCAGAATGGAACTGCTCATCCTTCCTGGCTGTCCAAGATACAGCCAGTCCAGCAGAATTTGAAGTCCTTTTCAAATCTATTGCAAGAATTCCCCACTCTCATGTCCCAAGAACATGACAGTTCCACTGTCCCCTCCCTCACAGGCACCAGAACCTCCAGACCACATCACTGCAGAGCAGGACACAGCAAATGAGCATCAGACAGCTTGTTTCCTTGAATAAATCACATCTCTTCTAATACTAACAACAGCTGATTTGTAGAGAGCCACAGCAGGAGTAACTTCTCAGTTTTCTCACTTTCTCAACTCAAGCCAAACTAGCAAACTGCAAAAAATATGTGTCTGTAGAAGAGTTTATTGTTATTATGGCTCACTCAGCATTCCACGAATTGTAGTTTCTGGTATTTAGCTACAAATTCCCATCAGTTCAATGATCTAGAAAATCTTGATTGGAACAATGGGCTATCTAAGCATTACTTTCAAAACATTAATTTCAGTGGCTAATATCAGGTTTGTGTCTGTCCAGGACTGTAATTTCAAGTGTAACTATTTTAAAAGTATTTGTAATGAGGTTTTTTATCTATCTTTATTCTACCACTGGGTTTTTTTATATGGCCTACTAATAAACAAAGAACATCAAGAAAATAAAGATCTGTCAAGCTATAAATAATAAAAAAAAATAAATCAAAAGAGGCCAACAGTACACAAGAATTTAAGAAACTACTTGCAAAAGGCATAAGAGCCCCATAATACTGTATTTTCAAACAAACTGGGGCCATCAGCAGTTTAACAGAATCTAAAAGGTGAGATCATCCAAATGTTACAAAAATAATCAAAACACCCTCAACTAACAACAACAACAAAAAAACATTCAAAAAAGAGAAGGCTCAAGATGATCACAGACAAGAAGTTTGGGAAGATTCCCATGTCAGAAACCTTCACAGGGACAGCCAAGGATTTTTTCTGAAGTTTAAAGCCCTGTGGTTAAGGGACAATAGTAAAAGTGGTTAGAGGACAAGAGTAAAAAAAAGAATCCAAACCCAAATACCTGAGTCCCCCAAACAGCAGTTATCTGCCAAGTTCAGATCATATCCAAAGAAACTCAAGGAGGAAACAACTAGAGTATTAAATGTGATGTGCACTGTCTTGATTTATCGTGCATTATTACTGGAGGGCCTCGAGATTCCCAAGAGGATACAGCTTCGTAAAAGTCCCTGGAAGAACTCAGTGCGGGGCAGGGCCGGGATCAGTCCGTGATCCCTGGTGCATGTGGGGCAGGGCCGGGATCAGTCCGTGATCCCTGGTGCATGTGGGGCAGGGCCGGGATCAGTCCGTGATCCCTGGTGCATGTGGGGCAGGGCCGGGATCAGTCCGTGATCCCTGGTGGATGTGGGGCAGGGCCGGGATCAGTCCGTGATCCCTGGTGCATGTGGGGCAGGGCCGGGATCACCCAGCAAAGCTGAGGCGCAAGGAGGGCCCATCCTCAAGTGCCAGCCCAGTGTTCCTGGGGGTGTTTCTAGATTTCCACCAACCCTTCATTGAGGTCCCTTAGTGAAGGCTCTCAAAGCACCCCATTTGATTTGGGGCAAATCAAAATACCACACTGAGCAAGCGGTGAAGAGCCCTGGAAGAAAGGCTGGTGTGTCTCCGCTGGGAGCCCCTCGGCCTGTTTGCTCAGGGTAAGTAACAGGATGGCACCATTTGGTTATGACACTGAGCAATTCAGGAGTGAACACAAGCACCACCTGCAGAGAAATGAAGGAGTTCTCACTGCTGAATGGGCTGTACAATGGCAGATAAAATTCACTGTAGATGTGTGCAGTTAATGCTCAGGGTTGGGCATTACTATGCAGGAATGAGAATCTGGCATAATGATAGAAAGCACCATGAAAATGCCAAATCACTGCTCTGCAACAGCAAAACAGCAAAAACAACTGCAAGGAATTACTGGGATAGAGCACGGGGCTGAAATCATTATTGCCAGCATTTTAACTCCCAGAGAACAGGAAAGAAAAGGAGAACTGAAGATGACAACATTTATGACAAGCAGCCAAACAAAAGCACTGTCTGCAGCTCTGGGAAGCACAAAGCTGGGAGTTACTGGAACCCAATTGGGCTCACACCTTGTGCCACTGTCATTGCTGAGCTCAGCTTTTTGCAGAGCTGGAGCCTTAAAAACTACATTGCAACTCCAAATGAAGACATAAGGTAGCAATGATAGCTTAGGTGATCCACGTCAACATCCACTGAAAGCAGGAGAAGGAACTCACAGGAAATGGATTTAATCCAGAAAACATTAAGACCCAGAGCTTGGCCCCCTCTGAGGTCAGTGACATGTATCCAACTTAGTGCTGCAGGGTGATGCCACATCATGATGTCATGAACAACTGACATCAACCCTTCCATAGAAACTGAGGTTAACTGTAATTCACCTTCAGACAGAGCAGGAAACCCCCAAACCACAGCACATCTGTAACCAGCTCCAGCACCGTGGGGAACAGTGAGTCCAGTCACTCATCACTGGCTGGTCGTAGGGAATGCACAGAACACGAGACTTTTCGTTATGTGAACAGCCTACCAAGAATGACAGGCCAGTAATTCCAGTACTTCAGAGCTTTTTTTTTCCCTTTCATATATTCTGACACCGTGTGACGCCCTAGATGAAGCAAAAAAGCCAAAGCAATGCAAACTGAAAAGAAAGAAGAGTACATTTACCTGGCATACGTCCCAGAATGGTAAGTTATTTTCTGATCACACAGTTATCACCTACAGTTATCCACACATTTGAAGTTTGGGGCAAGACTCTGTTAATTCTGTTTTGACATAAAAGTAAGACAACACAATTTGCTGCCTCCTGCAGTGAAAACAATTGCAAGCTCTTCTTCCCAGTTCATGTGAGGGTCAGTCTGGTGCCTGCACATACTACAGGCACAAGGGTTGAAACCCTAGGCAGGGTTTACTAAAAATGTTTAAGTTTAACTAACAGGAGCATTCTTGTTCATATCCAGAAGGACGAAGTATTGCCCTAAAATATAATACATTAAAAAATACAGAAGAGATGCTTATTTCTTATCAAAACAGTGAAGGAGGAAATATTCTGCAGGTTTCTGGTAACGTGAAATCTAAGGAAGAGGATGTCAGCTGCTTTGGGGGAAAGGAGTCTGTCTCAGTAAGTGTTTAACATACTAGGGGCATGTTTGAAAGTCACTTAAGCAAAAACAACGTAGGAGACAATCAGTATGATGGAATGCAGACACTAACAGAAGAATGTATGGACACAGGTATTTTAGAAAGCCTCCTTTCATCTTAAAATGTTTCTAAGGAACCAGTAAGGCAAAATCTAGTGGAAACAGGGAAAATTTGGGAGAAATAGTTCAACATGATCAACAGATACATTCAATTTTGTCTCCATCACGTTGCTCTCAGCAGCAGGTCCCCCAGGAGCCCTGAGGGCAATGGGGTGTCCCCCTGCCAGGCAGAGAGGAGTCTGCCCCAGGGGACACTGCAGAGGAGTGAGGGACAGTCTCTGCAGCTGCCAGAACCTCATGGCTGCAAGGACCAAAGAGACAGCAAATGCTTTCCACACACTTTCCAAACACTTGCAAACAAATCTCACCATCGAGTTTTTTTGGTCTTCACCAAAACCCAAATATGCTCCTTAAAGGGATTAAAATTAGCATTGCCAGTGAAAAGTTAATGCAAAACATTAAGAATATCAGCCCAAAATGTGGATTTCATACAGGATGGAAGAGTTTCACAGAGGAGGGACCAGTGATTTCCTTCCCTCTTGTACTCAACAGTCACACAGTAACAGCAGACTTGGAAAAACGTTCATCCTCTTTAGGTGTGAACTCCCACACAAAGTCACTGCTCCCCAGAACTTCAGTTAAATGAACATTAAATCTTATTCACAAACAGCAATGTGAAAATCTCAACTGCAGAGCAGGTCCCATACCCCAAACCAGCCCTTTCTGTAGCATCCAGTGCTGTCTGTCACACTGTACACACTGGGACACCTCCAGCCATGCACAAGCACAATTAATGCCATTTTTGTCTTACAAAAAGACAGTATGTTGATACTGGCAATAGGAAGATCAAGGTTAAAACTTAGTTTTAAATGCCTTCTTCCTTTCAACTGCTCACAACTGTTTCTAGGGTAAGATTTTTAACTCCTGTCCTCTGTTAAAACCGAGTGTTTTACTCAGCTGAAACACTGAGAACAATCTTTCCATTCTTTTTGGGTCAGCTGTTTATGAAAGTAGTTTTACAATATTTTTTCTTGGATTCTGGATTTGTTATTAAATATTATCTGAAGCACAAGCACATATGTGCTTCCCTTCTGAAAAGCAGTTTATGTATTGAGTATGACAAACACATTTTGACTGCTCCAAACATAAGCAGTATAGGTTTAACATGCAAAGTAGCTCAGGTACAATATGCAATAATCTTATTTTTGCCAAGTCATTACAGACACTGCCCTACAACTGCAGTTCCCATCACAGTTTTTTTCAACAAGTCTGAAATTTCTAAATACAGCAACGCATTTTTTTCTTTTAACAACCAAGTTTGTATTATTTTCCAAACCTCAGTTTACAAGATTTCCAGTCTACTTTTTACCTCCCTCGGTGGTTTCAGCAAAAATTAAGGACAACCAATTCTTTCCAAGCTCTATCCTGGAGCTTGTGTCTGTTACCTCATTTCCTGGCTCCAAGGAAGCAATGTGAGACAGGACTGTGATGCAAACTAACCCCAGCACACCTTCAAATAGAGAGTTCAGTTCCTCAAAGAGCAATGAACTCCTAGGCATGTAAGATTGAAATTCCTCATCCATCACACTCTTTTCTTCAGGTGTTCATACCAGTAAAAAGGGTTTTAAAAAATTTTACTGGGTAGTTTTCCAACTCTCCTAAGCAACCACTTTCACTCCAACTTTCACACACTGTCAGGGTGTTCTTCCCCTTGGTCATCTCTGCTGGCTCTGTTAAGCCCCTCTCTCTTACACTCATTCAAACCACGAATAACAAACAGCACCACACCTTAAATTAAAACAAATTGCTTTTCTAAGTTTCATCACTCAGGCAGACTTTTCAATCAATTAAAGAACCAGATCTTCATTAAAGATGAGATTATATTTGCGCTCAAGGACTGCACGTCTTGATATTTAAAAGCCACACAAACGACTTTGATTTATCATAAAAACTTACCCACTTGGCAATTGGACACCCCTGAGAGCTTTTTCCTTCCTTTCCCGTATAAACCACTACCTCTATTCTTACAGCGCTTCCTTTTGCTCCATACCTGCATTTAAGAGAGTTCATGAGTAAAACAAACTGCTGTAGACCATTTTAAAACAGGAAACATTTTCAATAAAATAAGAATAACCAATTTATTATTACTTTACTGAAAACAGAACAAAAATCTTTATGAAGTCAAAAAAACTCCTTTTCAGTTTAAAATCCTATTTGCAAGAGTGGTTTTTAACATCTCTCTTCTGATACTTCTGCCACCAAGGAAATGTTATTTGGGCAAGAAAGTGCTACCTGCATGTAAATCCTAGTGCACTCAGTCACTGATGTGACCTTTTTCTTTCCAGTTTGCCACAGCTTCTCTGCATGTGGGACACGGGAAAACCTGCTTTTGCCAGCTGCTGATCTGTCCTTCTGTTGACACCTCAGAGCACTTGAACTGCAATCCTGCAGTCACAAGTGCTCAGAAAAGACACCCAAGTTTGGAACTGAAACCCTCACCTCGTGCACACCTGAACATCATTTCTGAGAGCTCTACTTCTGCCCTGTTTAGACAGCCAGGAGTACTGTGAGCCTTAAAAGCTGAGTTTTCCTCACCTGTTCTCCATGATTTCTCTCACAGCAGCAACACTGGGTCCTGTCCCGAGGTGTGTGTAATAGGGGCCTTCATCTTTCTCTATAATTTGCTCTGTAAGCAGGTGAAGAAAACTAAGTTGGCACATATGAAATTTATATACTGCATTAAAAGTAAACTTAGAAATGGTTTACAGACACACCTTGCAAATGAAATCACAATACATCAAATCTGACCCTGAAATGTAATGAACAGAGAGTAGGACAGGCTTGTTTCCTCAGACAAAATTTAATACTTTTCTCCTCCTATTAATCTGCTGTTATTTTTTAATGTTATAAAGTAACCCTAATTATAGAAATATTTTGCATTCTTCACAAATTTTCATTACAGGAGCTGGCATGTATTGACTAAGTAAGATTCCCAATATCCTTGTCGGTAGGAAAACATTATTTCATTTTAGACAGAGGGGAATTTAGGGGAAAAAATAAGTTAACTGATAGTCATATACTACAGAACAGAAGACATAATCCAGGCCTCTTAACTAGCACCCTGTTGATTCAGAACGGGAAAGCAAAGATAACAACAATTGTACACAGGCAGATTGCTTCAAGTCCCTGACTTTCTTTCCATCTGTGCACTCGAGCAGTCTGACAACACAGCGTGTACCGCCCTCAGCCAAGCTGTGTTTGGTCTGACATCCCATCCTGCTCACAAGTCACTACTCGTGACTCACCTCAACCCCACCCCATCTCCCCCTGTGCCTTTGGCACAGCCTCTTCCAGGCCATCAGGACTGACAGGGGCAGCAACAGGACCCCCTCCAGCTGTGCTCTCCCACTTATCTGACAGCATTTAGGTGACGGTGACAATGTACTGGGACGTTTTTCCAAAGCCCCCCAGGCAAAAACCAGTTCTAGACCATCAAAATCAGAACCTGATATACTGCAGATAAATACACATAAAGCACAAGTCAGCGATGGTAAAACAGCAAACAGAGAAACTCCTTTTCCTCTTGGGTTTAAATTTAAGTGGAATATTTAAACCTGCCAGTTGCAATACCAAAAATACTCAATTCTGCTGTGCTTTGCAGGCCCAAAGAACACCAAGCAAAAGCTACAGAAAGGGGAAAAATCATTTCCTCCTGTTTTCTAATGGTGAAGCACTGATTCTTTGGGTAACAGGATTCCTCACATTCAAAGGAACAACACGAGCACATCTCCATGGGAAAGGTACAGGCAAAAGTTAGCAGAAACACTTACCAACACAGTCACAAGTTGGCAACTCAGACTGTCCTTTTTTTGTAGGTGTATCTATTAAATTTTTTGTGGGGGTATCAAGAAACTTCATAGGTGATTCAAGGAAACTGCTGAGCGTGTTTTTTGCTGGGGAACACCCTGAGTCGCCCGTGCTCTGTGCGTGGTCAGCACCCAAACTGGATGACGTCAGGACGGTCACCTCGCCCACACACTCCATGTTCCTGAGAGCCTCGGCACAAGCTGGTACCTGGGCCCCTCCACAGGGAACAGGCAGCACCTGCACCTTTGGGTCTGCCTGTGTGCCCTGCTGGACACAGGCTGTGCTCTCACTGCTCTTTTCGTTGGCTCTCAGGTCGGACTGGTTAAGGGTTGGAGGCAAAGGGTGTGCCTGACTGCCAGCTGCTGTTTGCTGTACCTGAGAATTGCATTGTTGTGTAAACATCTGTAGGTTTTCGGTTGGTCTGTTCAACAAGGATGCTGTTTTCAGCTGTGAAACAGCCAGGGGATTTTGGGAGGACAGGTCACTGCGCTGGCCACGTGCAACAACTTCATTTTTCAGTGGGTCAGTGCCCAGTGGGTCCCGGGAGCCTGCAGTTTTCATTTGCTCATTCACCACTTCACAGCCAAACAACCTGTCTTTTTTTTTCTCTTGTGGTGCCTCAGGTAAACATCTGTGGAATTTTATCTGCGTTTGGGGGAGAAATAATCTAGTTTTTTCTTGTGATGATGAAGTATTTTGACTCTGTGCTCTCTGTACTTTGGTTCTTGGAGATTTTTTTTCAGGCAGAGCTATTCTGGAATCCTGGGGCATGGTTTGACCAAGCTTGTGCAGTTTTGATGATATCCAAATGTCCTGCAACTCGTTGTGCTGGCATGACAACAGCTCTAGCTGGTTCTGATTAGCTTGTTGATAGCGTGCTTCTGGAGGCTTCTTTTTGTGTCTTGGTTTCCATGGCACAGCACCGCCTTTCTTATTTGTTACTTGTTTTTGCTTTATCAGTAAGGAACTATAATTATGCCTAAAAAATGCGGATTCTTTTTTCTGCACCACATCTTGGTTATGTTTTGGCTGCCTCTCCTGTGATATTAGATTAATCAGTGATGCCTTTATGTCATTCTTGTGTTGTGAATTGGCCTGGTTTGATTCAATCAGTGCTGCAAGTTGAGTTAGTTGTGCAGCTACATCTTCTTCATCCTGGCTGTGAATTCCTCCTTCCTTAATCAAAGAACCAGTTTCCAAGTTCAAATCATTAGAGGGCGTTTTTTGCTCTAACTGGCCAGGAGTTTCCAAGTTGTTCCCTGTTTGCTGGACATTACAGGAAGCGTTGCAATACTGTCCAAGGGCAACTGGATCATGAGCATAATTTTTCTCGGTAGTATATCCTGAAAGCGATGTTGCATTAGATGTTAAGTCAGATAAAGTTTTGGTATCTCTTGAGGATAACTGTAACTTACACATCTCCCCAGCCAGGTTGGCAGGTTTATCCTGCAATTCCGGGACTGAGCTTTGGCCATTGTATAACACTGCCTTATTAGGGAGCTGCTTCTGCGGGTGAGCGCAGTGAGCCAGGAGCTGCTGCTCGTTCTGTAAGTAAGTGTCTTTGATCTCGTTTAGTGCAGAAGATGTGAAGGAGGACGAGGTGTCACTTTTAAAACTATGGAGCAAGTTGGAAGTTGTTTCTTCTGTACATTCAGTACTTTCAGTTTTCGCTGGCGAAGTTGTTCCTAAAGGGGCTTCAGATAACTGTGTTAAAGCTTCAATAGCTACAACCTGCTCCACAGTTAAATTTCTGGTTTTAATCAAGGACAAGAAAGTTGACTGGAGTGTAGGATTCTCAGGCTGTGTCTCCACCTTAGGTACTTCAAAGCCATTCTTTCCTGCCTGCAGTTCCCCTTCAGGCAGGGGAGGACAACACAAGCTTTCCTGCAGACCCCAGATGGAACCTGCCTGCAAAACTGACTTATCAAAATCCTCAGAGATGCTGCACATGCAGTTTTCCTCCTTTATTAAAACATTTCCTTGGTTTTGTGGGTGACCACAGCCCATGCCAGTTGTCAGAGCATTTACTGTGTTATTCACATTGGTACCTTTCGTCCATTGCAGGTGGGAGTTGCTCGTCAAGTCCGTCCTTTCCTCTACAGACACTTTTTTCAGTGAAGCAACAGCTTCTGGTGGTGAATAATGCAGGGGTTTGATGCCATTTCTGATGGTCTGTGCAAAGGATTTTTTTGGCTCAGCTAACTGACTGGGGGAGACTGCTCTGTCACTGTCTCCAGCATGTTTCAAGTGCTCAGTGCCCGGCACAGCTCCGTGGATGTCGCCGTTGACATGGACACCAAAGGATGGCTTCTCATTATGTGCCCACTTCTCTGCTTCCAGGCCAGTCATTCTTTCCTTCTCCTTGCACTGCACATTTTCAATGGGCACTGCTTGATTGCTTTTCACCCTGTATTTTTCACCATGACCACATATACTGCATTCCATGAGTTCTGGTCTGCGGCCATTTACTGGTTTGTTTTCTAAATTTGCCTATAAATAATAACAGAAAAAGTTGTTGTAACAAAAACATTAAAAATAAGCATAAGGCTTCCAGCAATTAAACACTACTTTGACAGATACTAGGAATATCCTAATTAAGCACAGGCACAGACATTGGAAAATACCAAACAGGAAGCCATAAAAATCCCTGAAGGCTAAAGACCCTATCCATATTTATAGCTATTTTTCCCCCACTGTTAAGGGGCAGAGGAAGAAAGTGTGTACATGTGGTGGTGGGAGACTAAAGAAATGAATGGACAGAAAGAACATTAGCATTTCAAACCAGATGTGTAGGACTCAATTTTTAATGAATTTGCATAAGCAGATGAAAGTCTCCCTTGAGTTAAAAGCAGGACTGAACTCTAAAGGCTTGTACCACAAAGTTCAGCAGTAATTTGGCATAATTATATTGATTTGGCTAGACCAATAAACTGCCTAAACCAGTATACCACTTGGCTGGACACTGTAGCTAAGGCTGAAAATCAGTCATTCTTGCTTCAAGTTCTTAAAAAGAATTACAAGCCTAAGCTGAAATGAAGAGTAAGGCAATTTACAGCAGCTCACCTGAAGGTTAGTTTGGAAACAGCGTGCTCAGCTTCCGTATTTAGATGGACACTTCCAGTTTCTCAACAGTCTCATGTAAGCTATCCCAAACTGTATTTTAGTAAGTGTTAATATTTCATTAAACACCTTCTTCCTCTTTACTGATACCATACAAGTCACATGGTTGAAGCAATGTCAAAATCTAGCTAGAGTCAGAATATTGTGTCCCGGAAGGAATATGTCTGTGGGCCTCAAGGAAGTAGTATGGGTATGAAGTAAGGAGTTATGCAAAGTAAAAAAAAAAAAAAAAAAAAAAATTAAGGCAGAAACTTAGGCAGAAACAGCAATAAAGGCAGGAATGCAATTTTTGTTATGCTAATCAAATTTTCTTTATTTATATTATATTTCCTTTTAAAAAATAATTTAAATTCACAACAGACAGTGCTGGTACTTAATCTGATTGTAACATCTAAGAGTTCTTTAAATCATCTGCAGCCTTAACCCTTACTTACAAGAAAACCAGGCCTGCTTTTCAAATCAGACCTCAGCAATACCAGTGGCTAATTAACCCCATGTTGGCACAGCACATCACAGCAGTGCCCAGAAAACACCACCCAGTTTAATGGAAACCATTCAGGCAAATCCGACGTGGTTCTGCAGTCCTGCCAACTAAAGGATATGGACTCCTCGTAGAAAATAACTCAGAAAAACAAATGCACACTAGATTTATGATTAATTATGACCATCAAGACAGAATTGCCAGAAACCCCCAGGCACATGGAGCCAGCTCCATCTGGAGCCCAGTGTTCACCTCACAACTGATACAGCACAGACCCAGAACCCAGAGCACGGCCTAGGTATTGTGAGAGGCATCAAATTCTCACGGAAATGTTATGTACAAACATGGCCAGCACCTATGTAGCCAAGTCAAACTTACAGGAATCACATAAAAGATGCCTTATTTCACACTTTTTCATTACACACAGATCCTGACTAACAGTCTGTAAGCCTGAGCTCCTCTGCATCCTGCTGGGTTTCAGTCAATGATTCCCAGGGCCAAGGATTACTGAGCAATTACTACGGGATCCCCAAAGCTAAACAGATTAAACAGTTCTATTGCTAGCAGGGGCAAATGCATCACATAGATCTCTGCAGCTGTACCAGAAAATATTTTAAGGGTCCACCACAGGAAAGTAAAACCCCACAATTCTATATCCAATCAAAAGATGAATTTCAATTACCTTAATTTAATTTCATAAAGAACTAGGATACGAAATTGCTGTTCTTTCTTCAGCAAAAGTGTATCTAATATCTCTATCAATCCAAAAGTTGTCCCAACAATGTAAAATTGTTATTCAGAATTATTTAATCAGACAATTAGGAGGCTGAGGAGTTAGAATCAAATAGATTAAAACTAATTCCCCACCATCTGCACGTTGTCAACATGACAACATGTTAGAAAGACTGTTCACTACATTAAAAAAAGCTAATAATCTAAGGCTGGTAATTTGGGAGCAGGTGTGGGGAAGGAGGAGGGTCCATCCACAATTAGCAGAGGTGAGAAGATCTGACACAGAATCCACTGGCAGCACTCAGTCCAAAAAAAAGTCACACCCTGCTCTCAACGAGGTTATTCCTCAATAAAATCCTTCATCTGACCAAAAAAGCACTACTGTGCTCAAAAATACTCTGGATACCCCCTAATCTGCTAGTGCTGCACAGGTACAGTACTGTGTTCCCAAGACCCCAGGGATCCCAGCAGCAAAGTGAGATTACTTTTTAAATTATTCCTCTTACATATATTCCACTAACACTACTGCAAGCTGCCCACACGCAATGAGGCAGAAAAAAGAACCAGATGAATCATATCCTTGGCATGATTTAGTTCATATTTTGTTTTTCCACATGAAGAATTAATATTGCCATAAAATCAGATATTATTGTTTTAATTAAACTCTGCCTTTTGAGCACTATGTTGCTTTATCTCTTGTAACTGAACTGCAAAGGAGCCTAAAAGATACCTTTCTTCTCTCTGACAAGCAGAAGAAGCCACTGGATAGTCTGTTGTCTGTGAAGTTATTATCTCCCAAAAGAGCGATGCAGACACTAGCAGGGACAGAGCTCGTTTGATGCCTCCCCTCAGCTGAGGAGCAATCCATCCCTGAGTCCTGAATCAGGACTCAAAACAAATGTGAAAACTACAGGCAAGGATAACACTGTGCCTGGGATTGTGGAAGTTAAGCACATGAGTCTGATCCCATCGATTTCTAGGGCTTTTACACGAGCGTAATGAAAAGCTGAATAAACCAGATCAATAGGAGTCATTTCCCTCTCTCTCATTAAGGAGAGCACTACTCTGCCAGGACACAGAAACCACCAACAAATCATGCTCAAGCTTAGGCTCTGCTGCAGTTTGTGCTATTAGGGCAGGAACCACAGAGTCTGCTGTGGCCACTGCTGTAGTACTTAAACTTCATCCAGATATTATCTCTTATGTACACACACACAAAAATTCACTCTGGGAACTAATGCTTCCAGCAGACACAAACAGCCAGTTACAGCAAATCATTTCACATTCTGAAAAGGGTCTACTATTAACTTCTCTTTTAACACAACATGCTTCTGACATAATGCAAAGAGTTCACCAGTTCACAATCAGAATCCAAAGCTGAAAGCTACCCTAAAGACATTTCCACATCTTGTGAACAACAGCAAGCAGGCCATCAGTTTGTGTCTCTCGTTTCAAACCTCTAGAGGTGGTGACACACACTGTACAATCAAGGACAGCACCAGAGTCAAACACTCCCAGAGAGGAGAAATAACAGATGATGCCCAGACAAACTACTGATAAAACAGCTCTATAAGCAAGTCATGATGAGTAACATGATAACCAATGCCAAGTCCCCTAAAACAGCCCTCCCCGTAGGATTCTGCCCAGGGCCCCATGAGAATACAGTGCCCAACACTCCAAGAATGCTTGTGCCAACACCCCCCCAGCTTGTGCCAATAACCAGGATGACCCAAAAGGCAGCTCTTCCAAGGTGCCAACACTCAGGAGCCTAAAAGGACAAGTAGGACTGTGTGCAGTGGGTAAGCCTGGATCCTTTGCAGAGGTTGCAGCCATGCAGCCATTCCCATAGGCCCTTCCATGCTGGGATAGAGCTAGCAGCTTCTCAGAGCTCAAATGCCACAACAGAAGTTTTCTTTCAGAAATACCATTTGGAAGAAACCCTCAATGTACTTTATCTAACATTGAAAGAGGATGTGTCATTCATGGTCTGCCTGTCAGATGTCACTGCCTCACCAGAGATAGGACAGCACCAGCCAGCTGACCAGCACAATTTATTCCCACTTCCACTGTCTGCTCCCCAGGACAGGCAGAAATTCAGGGGAATCCAGGACTTGTACTGGATAGGATCAATATACAGGGGGAAGAAGATAAGACATGGACAGGACAGGCAACAGGGAGACAGAGCACAGGTGTGGACAAACAGTGACTTGTGCTGAGTGCCGTGTTGGAAGCCAAGCACTGGTTAGAACAGAGACAAATGTGAGGTGGGATGCTGTGCAAACTACAGGTCACCTTCTGGGTACAGCCAAAGGGGTTTTTTGCATTAAAATAAAGGCAGATACAAGAATACCTTTAAGGACAAATGTCTACTTCAGCCCACAAGTTCGACTACTGTAACGCAGACAACGTGCTGTAGGTTGCTGCTCAAGGCTGCAGCCTGAGCAGGGCTCCAGGGTGAACTGGTGAACTCCCAGCAGGCTCCTCAAAGAAAGAACAGCCAAGTAGGGGCCAAGCTGCAAGCTGGGGGCTATTCCCATAAAGCTCACCAGAGGCAGAAAGCAGTTCCCAGCACGCTTGTGTAACAACTGTGGACACGACAGTCTCAGTGCCCCACAGTCCTGCAGCAGCTCAGACCAGGCACATGTTCTCTAGGCCTTAGTGCAGAGAACCAGACTGGGGAGCAGCGTTAATGGAACACAGCCTGCATTTACATGATGTTCTGCTTCTCAAGAGAGCAACGTTCACAGATGGCAGAGGAACAGGACGGGACTTGGCAAAACTATGTTGACAAGTTTTAAGAGAGAGGCTGGTTTGTACAGAAATTCAGGGGAACAAGAAGCTCTGCAAATCTGGAGAAAGTCATCTAACCTGGGGCATCCAGGTTTTCCTGGAGGGATCCCCCTCACTCCTGACTTCCCTGGCCCTGAGGATCAAATCCACCCAAAGTCACCAACTTGAGCATCACAGCAGGTTGCATTTCACACTGATCTTACTGCAGCTGCAAAGTCTGCTCTGGTTACTTTTTTTCCCCCTAACTGTAGACACAACAGCAAAGAACATCCTCCAAGTTACAGCTTAGCAAAATAAACTACAGGAGACTAATTCTGACTCTAAAGGCTTAACATGGTGACTCCCATAGAAATGTATTTATTGAATTACTACTTGGAAATAGGCTCTCAGCCACAAACTCAAATTGTTTCCATCAACTCTGAGCTCTACGTTGTAGAAAGCTGCAAACAGAAGCAAGAAAAAATAGAGAGTGAAGGACACGCCATTCTCCCACACAGGCATCCAAGAAGTGGATGTGTTAAGAAAGAAAAAACCATAAACATTACAATACTTCTTCTGCCACAGAAGCAAACACAAACAAGCGTTTTGCTTGGTGGTTTTTGTTTTCTTTGGGGTTTGGGTTTGGTTTGGTTTGTTTTTTACTGGTGTTTTGAATTACTCAATCATTTGTCTTCAACACTGAAACTGAGCACTCAAAAGAGACCCTGGCAGCTCTGGAAAATATACTGCTCAATTAAGCCACAAAAGAAAAACGATACAATCAGCAGCAATATGTAATCCCTAATAGAACTTTTCCTTATGTGCTTTAACTCAAAAGCAGAGATGAAAGAAATTCAGTCTTTGACTTCACCCACACTCACTAATGCCTCTTGTGGTCTGTGAAACCCTCAGCACAGTGTCAAGGAAGGGCTGCCTGGCCCTGCACTGTGAGTGGAGAATCAGCACAGCCTTCACAGAAGGGGTTTCAGGGAGCAGATCACGGCGGTGTGCAACATTCTTCACAAGGTTCTCAAAGAACACTGAAATTCAGACTTATAAAAGAGAGCAAATAATGCAAAGAGCAGACATGATGCTTCCTAAATGAAGCTGGCAGGTCAGCCATTTCCTCCCAGCTGAAGGAGAAGTTGTGTATCCAGGAACAGACGTGGGACTGCACTTCCAAAAGGTTCCTACCTCAGAAAGCAGTGCCCTCACAGAGGACATTAACATGGTCAGTGATCAACTGCACAGTAACTATAGAAACTCCTGTTGCCACTTTATGGCCAGAAGGGTTAGTGACATTCTTGGGTGCATAAAAACCCCATATAATTAGGGAAAGACTGGTTACTTTCTCTCCTGTACTTGGCACTTTTGCACCTGCCAGTGGAACAAAGCGTCCTGTTCTGGCATCCCCGATTCAGGCAGGACATTGGTATGCTGGAGAGGGCTTCGAGGACCACAGCAATGACAAAGGACTGAAACATCTTGAAGTGAAAGACTCAAGTTCACTCTCTCACTCACTCTCTGCAGTTTGCCAAAGAAAAAGAAAATTGAAAAGCCACAAACTCCTGCCCCGTCTATGTGGAAAAGAATGCTGATAACAGAGGGCTCCTTGTTCCAGCAGACAAAAGTACAACAAGACTCGGTGACTCCAAGCTAAGGCCAGAGAAGTCTGGCCTTGAACGATGGTGCACATTTTTGCAGAGGGACAGAGAAAGAGCAAAGAATTTAAGCATCTTGTTAGGTGTTTTGATGCACTTTTCATCCATGGAAGTTTTCAAATTTGAGTTCTTTGAGATATTTTTAAAACGTGATCCTGAAGCCAAATAAATGGATACAGTCTTGCAACCTCTCAGCACACAAACAAGTGTTTGCCACATCTTGCCTGGGTGAGACCCAAATGTGATCCAAACTGATACAAGTAAATTTTCCTGCAGTTTCAGTACAGAGAAGATCCCAACTGCTAACAACCCAACTCCCACAGTGCCTGTAACCTAAGCAGGAAGATACTCAGCTCTTTAACTTAGGACCCCACAATCTGCTGTACAGCCAATTATAATGTTTACAAGTTGCTACATGCCCATAGAAGCTCTCAGACCAGAACTGCTAAGGACGCACACCACCATTCTAGCCTGGTTTTAAAGCTGCTGAGGGGCCACAAGACTAAAAGGTGTAACTCTTTAGCAATAGAAAAGTTGGTGACAGGTAGTTCAGAGAAGCAGCTCAAGGTAATTCAGATTTTGAAAAGAGAAAAACAGCCATGCTGGTTACTTAACCCACCAAACTACAAGGCTACAGCACTATCCCGGATTTTGCATCTATGTTTTGCTTACTCTCATGAGGAAAAAAAGCCTAAAAACTTCCTAGTGATGTTTCTTCTTCTAGCTAGCACATACCTATGGTTTAAATAAAGCTCAAAATGGAATTCATATTGTAGGTAACTTCACTTGTTCTTCACAGGAGGAGCAGCTTTCACTCCCATACGGGAAGAACAGCAGCGCTGTTGTGGAGCAGCACTGCAACAGTGTTGACACTGCAGAACTCAGACAGTGAGCATCTGTCACATGAGGAAATGCTGCACATCTTTAAACACACAAGTTTCTCCTCTCATAAGTTCAGCAAACCTCTATTTTAGGAAAATTAAACCTTGCGCCCCATTTTACTAGAGCTTCAATTATATCAATTAAATTACAAGCAATACAGACAGCACCAACACTGAGAAACAAGTTCACAGTTAAGACACAAACCACTCAGTTTTAAGTCAGTCTCAAAAAATTCTAATATTCTAAAAGGCTTAATATTAAAGTTATGAGGGACAGTCAGATATAGTCTATATTCTATTTTTACATCAGTAATGAAAAGTGATTATTGTTAGTTGCTTATAGGTAAATCCTGTTTTCCTTTTTCTTTAAATTGGTTAAGTTTCATGTGCTTAACATTTAAAAAGAAAATGCCTTCATAAAAATGCACGAATTCTTCTTACCTTCCAAATGAAATCCTATAATTAAGAATTAAATCTTTAGGTCTCTACATGGGCAAGGCTTCTACTATGTCAATGGCAAACTCTGCTGCTGTAGTATCTGCTAAATTAACTAACTTTCTCATACTCAGTAACACTAAACAAAAATCACAGTTTAATGTGGCAGAAAGAAAAAAAATCTGCTGCCACTAAGAGAAGTTTGGGGCTCCTCACTGGTTTTCTCCCACATCAATTACTAAAAGCAATAAACAAACTCGTGTAGCAATGTGGTATCAGATCCTAAGCTGGCAGTGCCCACTGTCAAAGCACTTGCTTTCACATTACTGTCCCTAAGTGTGTGGACAAACTGCAAACTGATAACAGATTACTAGAATGGGAAAAGCCATTCTGGTATTTCAATGCCTACATTACACACAGCAAGTACAAGTATTGATTAGAGCTCATAATTCGGTAGTGAATCCAAACAAAACACCACACCTGGAATACCACACCAGTGTTTATTTTGTAATGCTGAAACTTTAAGAAATCTAAATAATGTATCAATATACCTACACAACAGACCTTCATCTCCACATGTACCTTTTCCATCCTTCCCACAATCTATGTTGTGTTTACTGGATATTTAATGACATTTTGGATCACAAACACATTTTCTACCTTTTTAAGAAGCTCCACCTCTAAAATACAACAAGGTGGAAGGCCCAGCACCGCACTCAAACACGCCATCAAAATCAAGATCTACAAATAAACAGCCATTCAAAGTGTGCAAACCCCTCTAAAAGCACTGTAATCACGAGGTTCAGCCTGGCCTTTCCCAACACTCCTCTGCCCCACCGTTCCCTGAGGAGTGGCACTATCCTCACAACTGCTCTGCCACAGCAACAGAGGAGTTAAAACACAAACCCTTACTCCTCCCTGTCCCCCTCTCAGTGGACAGTGTCCCTTTCTCCCCCCAGCATTCTGGGGAGTTGTGGGGCAAAGAGCAGCAGAGGGCTGTGAGGAGGAGGTGGATGGGAGAGGGAGCAGCACTGGAGCAAGGGAGCTGGGCAGGAACAGGGAAGGACAGCATCCCCACATCCTGTCCAGCTTACTCTGCACCACAGCAAAAGTCCACAAGGAATGGGCTTCAACTGCACCAGAAACTGGCAGGAAAAATTAAGGATTAGAAAATTACTAGAGTAAGATTAATAATTTACAGACCACTCACAAAGGCTTTTTGTTAGAACTCTATTCAAAACACATCTACAGACATGAGTAGCTCCAGCAGAACTGTACAAACAGCATGCAAGTGCTCCACACGTTCACATGAGCAAAAAAACTGAATCCCATTTAGACAGGCACACACCCAGCTTGAAAAAGGTCAAGATAAGAACATTTCTTTCAAAAAATTATAACTTAGTTTAAAAAAAAGCTGGGTAACAGCAAAGTTATTTATCTTACTGTTAAAAATAAAATTTACTAATTTTTGTAGGACCCTCCAATACCAAAAGTAAGCTCTCCCTATTCAAAAAGTGGAAGCAGAAAGACATGTACGAAATAGGCGACACTTTAAACCAGTACTCAAAGCAATTTTAATTGGTATTTACTGAAGGGACGTGCTCCAAGGTGATAATGTCCCTTCTATAAAACCATAACAAATATGGTCAACATCCGTTCAAATGTGTATTGCACCATTCTGTCTTCTTCCCCTCTAAAATTCCACAGCAGTGCAATTCCATTCATTGACTTGCTCATCTCAGTTTAAAGGGGAAAAAAGTAATAAACTTTAATTTCTTCCAGCTAAATATTTTGGCAGATATTCTGCACTAAAAACATACACGATAATTTAGAATAAATGTTCAAAATCAGTTCAATCCTTGCTCACTCAAAGCACTATCATGAACTCTAGCAGTTACTTTCCTAAACCTTGTTAACACATATATGACCTTGACAAAAAAAAGGTGTAATTTTAGTTTCTTTAAGCACCAAAACTAAAAGTGCATCATAAAAAGGGCAACAGCAGGTCTGCCAAGTCAGCTTTATTTTAAAGTTGTTTTTTTACAGGAAAAACTATGCTTTTTATGTGTGGAGAAGAAAAATTAAGAGGGTGCTCAAGCAGCTATTTGCAGCTTTGATGGAAGTTTAACTTCTACTGATCTTAATATGATGTTTATAAACAATCCAAAAGTTCTAGATACTGAGTCATCTCTGCCTTTTGGCTCATCTTGAAGTGCAGGAATTTTATGGAGCCTGAGCATCATTGCACTCTCCTGGCCCCTCAGTCACCACTGCAGTGTTTATGCATAAACAGAGGCAGGCAGAGAACAAAGACTGTGCCTGCAGTCACAAAACTCACTTAGCACTGCATATATAATTCTGGATCTCTCCCACAGTCTCTTCCCTTCTGTTTTTCTCCCTTTTTTTCTTCTTACTTTTTCTTTTTTAGATCTCCATCAGGGCAGCAAACACCCACAGCCATCCCAAAGGCAGCCTTGGCTGCACAGACCGCTGTGGAAAGACCCCGGGCTGTATTTCCCTGCCTCCTGATCTGTGGGAGGTTTCCTTACTGGTGCCACCGCTGCCTACTCGTGCTCAGCGTAGATTCCCTGACAACGTGATGCCAAAGGCTCCTGTCCCAGTCTTCTGAGCTCTGCTTGATGAACTTGCAAGTGACTGCAAGCACTGCCTCACCGCTAAGGGGAGGTGCCCTGCCCTGCCCAAACTGAGCCAGGACACCAGGAAGGGGCAAAAAGAAAGATGGTAAGTGAAGCAGGGGGTACAAGAACCCTTTGGAAATGCAGGCAAATGAATTTTTAAGTATGAATCCCTTCCATATAGATTTTCCATTACCAGGAATAAAATTAAATAAGCATCTGAAAAAACACAATATAAAGCCCAAGGAAAACTAAGTATATTCCTTCCTTCATATCCATTACTATGAGCTCACAAAGACTTTCTTTAATGAGCACTTGCTTGCTAGAAGTGATGAATATTTCACACGTTCTTTCAAAATAAACATGGAGAATTAATGCAGTATTTATGGCATGGAAGAATTTCCTAAGTGACTCCTCCAATAACCAGAAAAGAGCATTAAAACACAAGTGTAAATAGTAAACAAAAGATACAGCATAATAGTATATATCACTTTTAGTCTTCCTTATGTGTTCAACCCATTTTCAACAGGAAACCATTGCTTATTTTGAGCCTGTACAGAATTTGTGGATATGCTGGTCCTAAGCACCACAATTAGAAAGAACATGAGCCCTCCAAGTAAATAAATATGTCTCTATCAAAACTTAAGAGGATTAGAAAAAATACTAACTACACGTATTACTGGAAGAAAATACTACAAACTCCTCCTTTAAGAAAGTTAAGAACACTACTTGAAGAAAATACAAAGAAAAAAGGATATTGTGTTGAAATTTTGAAAGCATCACTGGTCAGATGCCCTCAATCACTACAATCATTAAATCAAACACTTAAGTTATAATTCAACAGGTAAGACAACAGCCCTTCGCATGGCAGTCCCACCAAGGACAGAAGCCAGGTTAGAGTCACAGACCAAAATGTCACATTTTTAAAAACGCCCCAGTAAAGAATTCTCCAAGTTATGCGGCTTTTCTTCAAGTTCACTGCAGCTGTCAGAGCTGTAATGTAACTTAAGATGCCCAAACTCCCTCCTCCACTCCAAAAACAAAGGCCAACCCCACCAACCCCAATCCAGCGAGATGCCTCGAGAGGTACCGTGCCTCATTCAGTGGATGCAAGTGAACAAACTCTTAGGAAATACTCTTCAGCATCACCAAACAAAGACAAATACTAGCAAACACAAAGAACAGCACCTAAACCAAAGAGGAAAAACTGCAGAATCAGTTCAGCAAAGGAAAAGTCAAACCAGAAATAAAGCCAAGTCCAATGGCTGACATGGATACCATGCACACACCCAGAACCAGCCAAGCCTTTCCGCTCAAGAGCAAGAGGGGAAAAAACTCTTCAGAAGGCTTTCTGGAAAGGAGAGGAATGGCAGTATCATATTACATAGCAACCTGCTGGGCCATCAAATCCCAAACAGTGGCAAGATCGAGTCCAGAGGAAAACCTCAAGACCCAGCTATGAACCCCAACTGCAGACAGACACCCAACGCAACCTGTGTGGCTGTGACCAAAACAAACATGTTTGGCACCCTTTGACAGAACACGTGTCACACCAACACGCTACAAACTGAACAGCTCATTTACAAACAACCCTCGTTTTGCATCCTGCTATCAACTGCACAAAACAGAATGAGCAAATGCTCCAAGTTTGAGCTACACCTACGTACTATCTGACAAGAGAGGCAGTAATTAAAAGCATATCCACAACATAATGAAAATGCTCACATTTTAATGGATTAATGTACTTAATGCAAGAACAAAAAGCACTTGCTAGTGTTGTACAACCACACTTACTATCAGCATACAGGTAGGTGGT